GGACATCAAAGCAGCGAGGGCTGTGCCCATCAAAGGCGGCCTGCTCTGCGCGTGGACTCCGCTGCTCCCAGCGGTGGGGGATGGGGGCTCAGGGCCCAGCTCGCCCCTCACCAGGCCGCCCACAAAGGACCTGGCTCTGAGTCTGTCTGTCTCCCAGAGCCCAGGCCCGGGAGGCGGGGCTTAGCTCAGGGAGGAGGGGCTAAGCTGCAGGGGGCGGGGCCAAGCTCAGGGAGGAGGGGCTAAGCTGCAAGGGGAGGGGCTGAACTCAGGGAGGAGGGGCTAAACTGCAGGGGGAGGGGCTAAGATGCAGGGAGGGGCTAGGACCAGAGAGGAGGGGCTAAGCTGCAGGGGGCGGGGCCAAGCTCAGGGAGGAGGCTGTGTGTCCTGCGCCCTGGACCATCTCTGGGACTCGGCCCAGAAGCCCCTGGGCGGGCAGGTTGGGCTGCAGGCTCTCCTCCCTCCACAAGGTCGCCCCGGGGACGCCGGGCAGGCCCTGCGCGGGCCCCTGGCCCACCGGGACCCTCCACGGACCAGGCCTGGGGACGCCGGGCAGGCCCTGCCCGGGCCCCTGGCCCACCGGGACCCTCCACGGACCAGGGCCCCCGGGGACCAAGGCCGAGGCAGGGCCAGCCAGGCTCGGGGCGTCCCTGCTAATGGTCCAGGTGCAGCCGTGGGCCCCCCCATGAGGGGGAACAGCTCCCGAGTCCAGGGGAGAATTCCCACACCCCTCCCCACACTCCCCTCCCCACCCTCCCCTCCCCACACTCCCCTCCCCACCCGACACTCCCCTCCCCACACTCCCCTCCCCACCCTCCCCTCCCCATCCTCCCCTCCCCACACTCCCCTCCCCACCCTCCCCTCCCCACTCTCCCCACCCGACACTCCCTTCCCCACACTCCCCTCCCCACCCTCCCCTCCCCATCCTCCCCTCCCCACACTCCCCTCCCCACCCTCCCCTCCCCACCCTCCCCACCCGACACTCCCTTCCCCACACTCCCCTCCCCACCCGACACTCCCCTCCCCACCCTCCCCTCCCCACACTCCCCTCCCCACACTCCCCTCCCCACCCTCCCCTCCCCACACTCCCCTCCCCACCCTCCCCTCCCGACACTCCCTTCCCCACACTCCCCTCCCCACCCTCCCCTCCCCACCCTCCCCTCCGCACACTCCCCTCCGCACACTCCCCTCCCCACTGGCTGACTGAAATGTCTAAGCAGCGGTGACACTCAGTGCACCGGACTCTACACCATCATCAAGGGCAGAGGGACATGGCTGAGATCCAGGGGCCCCGGTGGCCCTGTGTTCCCCCCAGTCCCCCCCCCTCAGGGACACGGGCTCCGCTCTCCGCTGAGCTGCCGGGGCCGGTGGTGTCAGGCCTGAGGGGCAGGCCCTGGGCAGGGCCTGGAGACGCGGCAGGGCTGTCCTGTCCGGCCCGGCGGCCGGAGAGCCGGTGGGGAGGGGCCGCCTCCGCCCGTGGATGCCGTGAGCTCCGTGCAGCTCCCGCCCCCGTTTGCTCTGAGGCTGTTGTACCTGCAGCCGCTTCCCGCACCGCGCCGGGCAGAGCAGCCATCGACTCCGCAGGTCGATTGCCCACTCGATGGCGCAGATGGACCGTGCCCTGCAGCCTTGCTGGGCCCCGTGTTGGTTCTGCGTGTGAGTGCGTGTCCCCCAGGCAGGCCGGCCGGCGAGTGTGGGTCCTCCTTCCAAGTTTATTTCTCCTGCCAGCTGCTCGGCCCACCCTCGGCACCCCCACCCCCGGGACCCCCACCCCCAGTACCCCCACCCCCGGGACCCCTACCACCAGTACCCCCACCCCTGGGACCCCCACCCCACCCCATCCCCGGGACCCCCCCACCCCCAGGACTCCCACCCCCGAGACCCCCATCCCCAGGACCCCACCTCCGAGACCCCCACCCCACCCCCGCCCCTGGGACCCCCACCCCCGGCACCCCCACCCCCAGGACCCCCACCCCCAGGACCCCCACCCCACCCCACCCCACCCCTGGTACCCCTCACCCCCAGGACCCCGCCCCCAGGACCCCCCCAGGGCCCCGCTGGATGGCAGGGGCCGGCAGAGGCGCTGGCCTCGCTCCCCCACTCGGGGCGGAAGCCCCTCCTGTGCCAAGTCCCCTCTCCCGTTCGCTGGGCGTTTACCGCAGAGACTGGACTCGGGGCGCCCACCCTGCAGCGCTGGGCTGGCGTGTGAACGTGCCGGCGGCCGCCCTGCCTTGCTGACCCCCCGGCAGGCGCCGGCTGGGCCGGTCCCGTGCGGCCGGGTCCGTGCCTGCGCCCACAGGACTGTGCTTTTACTCGAGACCTGTCCTGGCACTTCGGGCATCGGCAACTCCGCCTCACAGTGTGAGTCCAGAAAGGTTTCCTCTCCCCTTATTCCGTCCGACTGGAGACCGGCTCACTCTGCCCGCCTCTGGAGGAGCCGGCGCTCGGTTCCTGGTGTCCTGGGTCCACGCCAGCTCCCCGGGCGGGCCCAGACTGCGCCCTCAGTGACCACCGCGCGTCTGAGCGTCTCACCGCGATTCCGTGACCGCGAGCCGGGGCGGAACCACACGGGCTGGGCCTGCGCACGGAGCTCCGCGGACCTGCCAGAGCCACACACACACACACACACACACACACGTCTAAACATACACCCACACACGCATACAAGCACACACCATACTCACGCACACACCCACCATACTCACACACACACACACGCCCACGCAAGCGTGCACACACACACACACCATACACATACCATACAAGCACACACACGTCTAAACACACACACACACGCATACAAGCATAAACCATACTCATGCTCACCATACACACACATACATGCCCGCGTGCACACACACCATACACATATCACACGCAACACACCGCACACACATCTAAACATGCACCCACACACGTACATGCGCACACCATACACTCATGCGCACATGCACACATGCCACACCATACACACACGTCTAAACATACACCCACACACTCTGCTGAGTGCTGAGGCACCACCGCTTTCCCCGCAGATGGGGGCGCCGGCTGCCCGCCCAGGCCTCTCCCTCCGAGCAGCCGGGGTCCCGTCACTGCCGGGCCCGGGGGCTGCGGCACCAGGAACTGCCGTCCGGGTCTGGGAGAGGGGAGCTCCTTCAAGGAACCCCCCCCCCCCCCAGGGCCCATGGCCTCCTCTCCTGGCAGCTGAGCCTTGTTCGGGGCCAGCCCCCCGCTGCTCCGGCCCCAGGCGTGGCCCCTCGTTCACCCCCCGCACACGGGAGTGAGCGAACAGCCAGCGAGTCCATCGGTACTGGGTGAGCCGGGCAGAGGCCGCCGGGCCGTCTGAACCACGGCGCCAGCGTGAAGCCCCACGCACCCTGCACCCCAGACCCCGCCCGCCCGCCGGCGTGGCCGCGTCCTCTCGCAGACGGACGCGGGAACGGGTTGTGCTCACGGAGCAGAAACACAGAAGAGCGGGGATTAGATTAGTGGCTGCCGGAAAGCGCCCACGGAGCAGAAACGGCTAATTGGCGTGGCCTCCCCGGGACGCGGGCGGGCGGGCGGGCTCTAATTTGGGGCTCCGGGGAGGGGGGCGCGGCCGTGTGCGCGGCCGAACAGACCCCAATTAAGTTAGTCCTCCACCGTGACCCCGTCCCCGCAGCTCTCGGCGCGGATGAGGCCGGGAGGGGAGCAGCCGCCTGGGTCCGTGTGCGCCTCCCCCTGCCCACCGGCCCCGCAGAGCCGTCAGCTCAGAGACCGCGCTCGCCGGAGCCGGAGCCGGAGCCGGAGCCGCGGGCAGGATGGCCAGGAGCTCGCCTTCCCCACGGCGAAGCGCCATCACGCCCCCACACAGACACACACACCTGCCGGTGCTTCCCCGGGGGACGTGCACCTGCACTCCGCGCCCGGGGACCGCGGCGCCTGCACCCGCACCCGGCGGCCTCGCCACGGCAGACACACCCGCCGTGCCCTCAGCTCCGGGGCACCGCCTCCGCGGGGACCCTCGGGGACCCCGCTCCCACAGACGCCCGAGCACCGCCTCCCGAGGGCGCCGTGAGCTCACTCCGCGTCCCGAGAGCAGGACGGGAAGGCCTCCCTCTCTGCCGTGGCCTCCCACGCCTCCCACGCCTGGTGACTGGCCCCACGACGGGACCTGCCCCGGTTCACCCCGCCCCTGCCCCACCCGCAGGGCCGGGAGCTGCTCTCACCGCCACATTCTCCCGGCCCCTCCTCCCTGCGGTCCCACAGCGCGGGGACCACTGGCAGCAAGGACAGTGCCCCCGCCCGCCAGTCCTCTCCTGCGCTCCCAGACGCTGCGCTCAGCCTGTGCCCACTGGCCAGGCCTGGGCTGCGGGAAAACACCGACGAGCCCCTCCCAGCACACCTGCCGGCTGCCCCTGCAAAGCAAACTGCAGCTTCCCGACAGCCCAGCACGGCTCAACCTCGCAGACCCTCCCGCCCTGAAGCTTAGCAACAGCCACCGCCTGCACGGCCTCTCCTCTCCCCGAGAGTGAAGGCGCTCCTCTCCGCGCCCTCTCCGCGGGGGAGCCTCCCAGCCTGCGCACCCTCAGGCAGCTGCCTGCCGGGCCGGCGGCCTGCCGCCACGGCACCCGCCCCCGGCTCCTCCTCAGCGCCCGGGAGGGCGCCCGCCCCGCCAGACCCACAGGGAGGAGTGGCGCAGCGGGGACTACGTGAGCAGGACACTCGGGCACCACAGCGGCCCCTGCAGACAGCATGACCCCCCCACACACACACACACAGCTCACAGCAGCACAGCACAGGGCACACCGGCCTGCGGGCTAGTGAGTCCGAGAGCTCGCTGGGGACCCGCTCCCAGCCCCTCCCCTGCACCCCACCCGCACGCACAGCCAACGCCGCCCTCAGGGCCCATCGGGCCGGGCGACACCGGCAGCCCCCGGCCTGGCCAGCGGGCAGCGGGTTCTTGGCCGCGGCAGGCGGACCCCCCACGCAGCCCCGGGGCCCTCTCAGTCCGAGGCTCCTACCGTCCACGCAGGCGGGCCGCGCCCTCGTGGTGCCCGCGATCTGCCCCTTCCTGCAGGCGCAGCGCGCCGTCTGCCGGGCGATGGTCCTCCGGGGCTGGCTGCTGTCCCGGTCCAGGGTCACGATCTCACAGGTGCCAGCGGCCAGCTGACCTGCCAGAGAGCAGAGGGTGGGCTGAGCGCTGCCTGGAGGCCAGCTGCCACGCCCCTCCCCCCTCCCCCTCGACAAGCTGCCATCCCGCACCCGCCCTCCCCCCGGCGGCCTGGGGCAGCCTGTGGCCCCCCCGCACCCTCCCCGGCCTGAGGCAGCCGGTGCCCCCCCCGCCCCCCCCGGCGGCCTGGGGCAGCCTGTGCCCCCCCGGCCCCCCCCGGCGGCCTGGGGCAGCCTGTGCCCCCCCCCCTGCCCCCCCGGCGGCCTGGGGCAGCCTGTGCCCCCCCCCGCCCCCCCTGGCGGCCTGGGGCAGCCTGTGCCCCCCCCGCCCCCCCTGGCGGCCTGGGGCAGCCTGTGCCCCCCCTCCGCCCCCCCCGGCGACCTGGGGCAGCCTGTGCCCCCCCGCCCCCCCGCAATGTGAGCGCAGCCCCCTCCGGGGTCCTGGGTCGGCCACGCAGCCCCGACTTCACACGCATGGCTGCCCGCAGAGCCCGCCTCCCTGCCTGGCTCTGCCGGTCCCTCAGCCAGCAGGAAGCACCTACTGTGCGCTGGCCCCAGGCGCACTGAGCAGAGCCGCACCCTGGGCCGCCGCCCAGCTGGGAGGGGAATGGGGCTGCCCGTGCGCTGGGCACAGACAGGAGGCGGAGGTGGTGGTGGGCGGGAGGCGGGTGAGGAGGCAGTCCTGGTGCTGGCCGCCGCCTCCTCCCCCCCCCCCCCCCCCCCCGTATTCCAGGCGGTTCACTGGCCCCGACACTGTCACTGTATCACCCTGTCTGCCCAGAGCCCGGTCCAGGGCAGGATGAGGTGGGGGGGGCACTGGGTGCAGCGCCGGCAGCGGCCCCCACGCCTGCCCGGGAGCTGTGAGTGGACAGCACAGGAGGTCAGCGCAGCCCCTCCCGTCCCAGCCATGCCCGGCGCCTCCCCGAGGCGGGGCTCAGGCCCTGCCTCACACCCGCTATTACACACAGTTACACGCTGTGCTCGGAACACGGCAGAGACACACGGAGACGTAAATAACAGGAGATGACACGGCGACCGGGGAGGCCGAGGGTGCTGCTCGGGGCAGCGTGGGGCTCAGAGGGGCGGGAGCCGGGGGCCGGGGGCTGGGGGCCGGGTCTGCGGGGGGCCGCGGGTGGAGGACGGGGGCCGGGTCTGCGGGGGCCGGGGGCGGAGGATGGGGAGGCCCAGGCTGCCTGGTGTGCGGTGGCGGCTGCGTGGGCGCCGTCCGGCCGCTGCTATTTTGGGTTTCCGGGTGACGGAGCTATTCCTGGTCCTCGCCGCCCGCCCTCCGCTGACCGCGGGCACCTCGGGTCGGCAGTGCCGGCGGGGCTTCCTCCCGGGACCGGCTCGCTCCGAGCCCCGGCTGCTGAATAACTGAGCAAACGACAGGCCTGTGACCGCACCGCCCCCCCCCCCCCGGGCTAACGAACCACCTTCTGGCACCCGCTGTGGGGACGCTGCCCCGGGCCCCGCCGCTCCTGCTGGGCCCACCGTGGGGCGCCACAGGGTCTGTGTCCGGGCGCCCCTCTCCCAGCCCCGCCCTGTTCACCCCTCAACCCCTCATTCCTGTGTCGGGCTGGTTCAGTGCAGACTGTCCCTCCCCCCGTGCCTGGCCCAGGCCCCCCACGCCCTCCCCCCTGCGCAGTGGCGGCCTCGGGGGCTGGCAGAGGTGTTGACCCTGATCCTGGGAGCTAAGGGGCAGACGCACCACACCCACCAGCTCCACCCCCGGCTCCACCACGCCGTCCTCGGACCGGGGACCCAGCCCCAGCAACATCTCCCAACCGTGTCTCCTGGATGCCCGCCCCCCCGCGTCCCCAGCGCACAGGCACCCCGTTTGACGGCCCGGCGGAGCGTGGATCTGCGGGCACCTGTGAGCCGGCTGGCCAGAGGTCTGACGGGCGTGAGGTCGTCCGTGCGGCTGCGGGGCCGAGGGCGGGGCGGGCAGCCGCTGACCCGGAAGCAGTGCCTGGGGCGGGTCCCCGAAGGAGAGGGGCCCAGTGGGACGCGCATGGAGCTCAGACAGGAGCCTCCTCAGGAGCCGGGTCCCACGTGGGCTGAGGGCGGGCCTCTGGGCCCGGAGGGGGCCGCGCCGGGAGCAAGGAGGCCCAGTGCTCAGCGCTCCTGCTGGGAAGGGCTGCAGGGCGTGGCAGCCGGGGAGGCGTGGAGGCCGGGGGCACACATGGCATCTGCCGCTCCCGGCCTGCCACGTGGTGTGGTCAGAAGCCTGCTGCCGTGGGCCGCGCACCGCCCGCAGACAGCCCGTGGCCGCGAAGACGCTGGCTCTGACGTCAGCCTGGGAACAAGCCCACGAGCCCCCGAGTCTGTGCCCACTGACCTGCCACGCAGAGACCACGGCCGGCTTCCACGCGCGGCTCCTGGCGCGGCTCCGGGGGAGGGTGCCACACCAGGGCCCGCGGGGTGTGACCCTGGGGCCGGGCCTGAGGACCCGCGGCCCTGGCGCTGTCCATGGTGCTGACGCGCCACAGTCTCCCCCTTTCAGCGGACACTGTCCCTCATCTCCTGCCCGGGCCAGTGGGAGCCAGGACTCCGGCTCTGGAGCTGACCCGGCCGCCTGGAGGGCTGAGGGATCTGGGCCCTGATGGGGCGGAGCCACGGTGAGGCGCCAGCCCGGAACACTGGGAACCGACCCCCCCCCCCCCCCCCCCCGCCCCGGGAAGCAGTGCCCACACGGAAGCCTGAGATCTGGCCTGGCCTGTCTTTCCAGGCCCACAGGACAGAAGGCAGCTGCAGGCACAGCTGCCCGCTCTCCCGCTCCCCCTCCCCTTTCTCTGCCCACTCCCCCTCCTCCTCCCCCTCCTCCTCCGCCCTGTGGAGGTTTGGTGGCTCCCAGGGAGGACCGAGGCTCCAACTCGGATGGGGCATTGGGACAACCCTCTCCCACGTGGCCGGGGCACCTGGGGTTGGCCAGGTAAGGTCCCCGGGCACCCCACCGGCCGGCCGGCTTCCAGCTGGGAGGAGGTGTGACCGATGGTGGCTGCATTGGGCAGTCAGCTGGAGGGTCACTGGGAGGGTCACTGGGGAGGTCACCAGGGACGGTCACATGGAGGGTCAGCTGGGGGGCTCTCCCGTGCGACCAGCAGTCACGTCCCTGGAGCTCACCCTCACTGAAGTGGAAGCGTGTCCACACGGACCCCGCACACGGACATCATAGCGTGTCCCCCCCAGGACAGCCCAGCCCAGCCCGGTGGTGGGTGTCCTCCCGGGACGGTGCCCTGGCCCGTCCGCAGGGTGAGCACGCGAAGGCCTGAGCTCGCAGACGCGGGAGGACGAAGGAGAACGAGGGAGGACGAAGGAGAACGAGGGAGGACGAAGGAGAACGAGGGAGGACGAAGGAAAACGAGGGAGGACGAAGGAGAACGAGGGAGGACGAAGGAGAACGAGGGAGGACGAAGGAGAACGAGGGAGGACGCGGAGGAGCCGTACGACGAAGGACTGAGCCACAAGCCAGGCTGAGCGTCTGCACTGCAGGGTCCCAACGCGGCGATGTTCCGGAAAGAGAGCCACGGGGACGAGAAAGACAGGCTGCCACAGACTTGCAGGGAGGAAAGAGAGAAAGGAGGGGAGGGAAGGGGAGGGGAGGGACAGAGGGAGGGAGAGGAGATGCAGGCATTTCCTCTGGTGAAGCTGCTTTCTGTGCGGCTGTGGGGTGGGTGCAGGGCACTGGGCATCTTTCAATCACAGCCCGGCCAGTGTGAGCACATGACCTAGGAACCAGGAGGTCAGGGTTCAATTCCCGGTCAGGGCACAGGCCCGGTTACCGGCTCCATCCCCTGTGAGGGTGTGCAGGAGCAGACCTCGTTGGTGTGTCTCGCTCCCTCTCCTTCCTCTCTGGAATCGGTGAAAGTGTTAACTAACAAAGCCGTGCTTTTTACACGGTGACACACCAGCTCTCAGCACTGAGGACGTACTTTTCCCAAACTGGAGTTCACACACGGGATCCCGTCTCCCCCTTCCCAGCTCAGCTCGGCCATCACCCCATCCGCTCTGTGCAGCCGTCCACCATCATCTCCAGTAAACACTCCCCCCGGCCCCCTGGCCCCCCGCCCGGGCCCCCACTTCCTGTCTCTGTGACTGCGGCTCCTGAGCGTGCCCCTCTGCTGGCTTACGTCACTGAGCGTGACACCTCGCGGCTCACCACTGACGTCTCTCTCTCTCCCGCTTCCTCCCTGACGTCAACAAATATATATCCCATATAATAAAAGCCTAATATGCTACCTGTCCGGTCTTCCATCTGTCCATTCGACCAAAGCATAATATTATATGTTAATGACATGCTAAGTCCGCTCAAGCGCTTGCTATGATGTGCACTGACCACCAGGGGGGCAGATGCTCCGACTGGTAGGTTAGTTTGCTGCTGGGGTCCCGCCAATCAGACCGAGCAAGGCGTGCTGGACACGCCCTGGAGCCCTCCCGTGGTCCCTCCCCGGCCCCGATCATGCACCAGTGGGGTCCCTCGGCCTGGCCTGTGCCTTCTTACAATCTGGGACCCCTCGGGGAGTGTTTGGTTTGATCCTGCAGGCCAGGATGAGGGACCCCACTGGGGCACAAATTCACATACCGGGCCTCTTGTGTATATAATAGAATGACCATTGGGGACTGCAGCTCCGGCAGTCCGACCCCTTTGTGCCCTGTGACAGCCACGTTCTGTGTCAGCCCCGTCCTGTGTCAGCCCCGTCCTGTGACAGCCACGTTCTGTGTCAGCCCCGTCCTGTGTCAGCCACGTCCTGTGACAGCCCCGTCCTGTGTCAGCCACGTCCTGTGTCAGCCCTGTCCTGTGTCAGCCCTGTCCTGTGTCAGCCCTGTCCTGTGTCAGCCATGTTCTGTGACCTGTGTCAGCCCGTCCTGTGTCAGCCCCGTCCTGTGACAGCCCCGTCCTGTGTCAGCCCCGTCCTGTGTCAGCCCCGTCCTGTGTCAGCCCCGTCCTGTGTCAGCCACGTCCTGTGACAGCCACGTTCTGTGACCTGTGTCAGCCCGTCCT